TTGACACTTAACATGTAACAGGGATTCAGACTACCCTGTTCTTCAATTAGAATGGTATAATGCATATCGACCTACCCAATATCAGAGACAATTGCAACAGTTAAAAATAAAATAAAAATCAAAAACTAAGCTAGATTTTGCAGCTAGATTAATACTAAGCATAAACATAAATATTAAACAAAATTAAGCTAGATTATTATTAAACATAAACATAAAAAGAAATTAGTCTATTTTACAAAATTAAAAATTATTGTAAAAAAACAAAATACTACATAGGCACATTAGCATGAATCTTACATTTCATTTTTACATAAAGAAAGCAAAAAATCATGGTTTAGCTTAATGTTATAGTTGTTACCAATAATAATATCTCACAATGCAATTTGTTTCTTATTTTGCGACATTACTTAATTTCATGTCACTTAGACATTTTATCAAACACATTGTGAGCATCTCTTGCATTCTTAAAATTTCAACTTCAAAAGAGGCATAATCATCATATCAACAACACCAATATGCCTCTCATCACAACTATAACATCACCACATTTTCACAATAATATTCAATACACAATTTTTTCACTTTCTTATATGTAGTTTCGGATTAGTACACCCCTTAACAATCTTCAACAAGAAACTCAACTCATTTCACCTCAACATACCTTCAAATCCTCCCTAACCACAAAAAGAATATACATTCTAAGTTTCTAATACTGTTTTTAACAATATTAATAAAAGAAACTAAAAGGAATTAACAACACAATTCTTGCTAGGGTTTATACAAATATACTTTAAAATAGAAGGAAATAAACAAATGAAATACTACTAGTTTGAAGGAAAAGAGAGAAGAGACTACTTACCTTGCAAGAAGAAGAAGGATTTGTGGATGGATTTTTGAGTGAAATTAGTTGGTTGGGTTTTTGGGTTTAGTGTTTGAGAAGAAGAGAGTTTGGGGAGTGAAATAATTAAATAAGGGGAGGGGGTTCGGATTTAAGGAAATAACGTTTTTATGACAATGGCCTGTCGCGGCGCGCCCCGTGGCGCACCCTACGGCGCGATAGGCCAATTTTTCCAGCTGCTCCAAAAATTTTGTATTCTGCCTCGTCTGTGCAATTTTGCCTGGCGCGGTGTGTGATACGACGCCCCATGCGACGCGGTAGGCCAATTTTTCACAGAGTTAGCCTATTTTTCGATTTCTTAGCTTACAATTTACCCCCTCTATCATTGTACATTGATTTTATGCCAAATTCATGCTTGCACCTAACTAAAAGTATTATACATCTAAAATCTAATATTTCTAAACTACAATTAAAAGTTAGTGATGTTAGTCATTGGGTTGCCTCCCAACAAGCGCCTAATTTAACGTCGCGATACGATTTAACACTTCATCATGCATCAACCAAATCTACCGAGGTCTTGTGACGTTTAATATCACCACCCCAATAGTGTTTTACTCGCTGCCCATTCACCAAGAATGTACCACTTGAATTTATGTCCCGTAATTCAACTGTTCCATAAGGAGTCACACTTACCACAATGAAAGGGCCTGCCCAACGGGACTTAAGCTTTCTAGGAAAAAACTTTAGCCTTGGATTAAACAAGAGAACTTCTTGACCCGGTTCAAACACATGATGTTGGATGTGATTTTCATGCCACCTCTTGGTCTTTTCTTTATATAACTTGGCATTTTCATAAGCATGCAACCGAAACTCATCAAGTTCATTGAGTTGTAGCAGTCTTTTTTCACCGGCTAAGTCCATATCCATATTTAGCTTTTTGATTGCCCAATAAGATTTGTGTTCTAGCTCAACAGGTAAATGACATGCCTTTCCATAAACCAACCTGTATGGAGAAGTAACTATTGGAGTCTTGTATATAGTTCGGTAAGCCCACAATGCATCTTCTAACTTACCGGACCAATTTTTTCTATTTGCACTCACTGTTTTCTCCAAAATCTGTTTTACCTCCCTGTTTGGCACTTCAACTTGACCACTCGTTTGAGGGTGGTATGCAGTAACAACCTTGTGTCTTACCCCATATTTTGCTAGAACATTTTTCAACAATTTGTTACAAAAGTGTGTTCCTCCATCACTTATCAACAACCTTGGAGTTCCAAAGCGTGTGAAAATGTGCTTCTTTACGAAACTTACCACTACCTTTGCATCATTAGTAGGAAGAGCAATGGCCTCAACCCACTTAGACACATAATTGACTGCAACCAAAATGTATCTGTGCCCATTAGAATATGGAAATAGTCCCATGAAATCAATTTCCCAGACATCAAATAGCTCTACTGCCAAAATATTTTGCAAAGGCATTTCGTTCCTCTTCGTGATTGTACCTGTTCTTTGACACCTGTCACAATTTTTAACAAAAGCATGTGCATCTTTAAATAATTTTGGCCAGTAAGAACCTGATTACAGAACTTTTTGTGTAGTTCTATCTCCACCATGATGACCTCCATAGAGAGAAGAATGACAATCATGCAATATTGCATTCATCTCCTCCTCAGGGACACACCTTCTTACCAATTGATTTGCGCATTACTTGTATAGAAAAGGCTCGTCCCACATGTAGAATCTCATGTCATGTAAGAATCTTCTTCTATGATCAGTTGTGAATTCTGGTGGAGTCACCCCACTTGCAATGAAATTCACATAATCAACATACCACGGGGTTTCATCTGAAGTGATGGCTAGCAAATGTTCGTTAGGAAATATTTCTTTGATTGATTCTTCTTCAGTGACATGGCCTCGATTTTCCAGCCTGGATAAATGATCTGTAACCTGATTTTTTGTCCCTTTTCGATCTTGAATCTCCAAATCAAATTCCTGCAAAAGAAGAACCTGTCGGATTAACCTTGGCTTGGCATCTTTCTTTGCAAATAAATACCTGATAGCTGAGTGATCTGTGTAAACTATGACTTTGGTTCCCACTAGATAGGACCTGAACTTATCAAATGGCCATACTACTGTGAGCAACTCTTTTTCAGTAACAGTGTAATTCATTTGAGATGGATTAAGAGTTCTTCTCGTATAATGAATGGAGTAAAAGATTTTCTCCTTCCCCCCAAAACAGCTCCAATTGCTATATCACTTGCATCACACATCAACTCAAATGGAAGTTTCCAATCTGGAGCAATGATAATTGGTGCAGTAACTAATCTTCTTTTCAGCTCATCAAATGCTTTTAGACAAGCATCATCAAACTTGAAGGATGTATCTTTCTCAAGAAGCCTGCACAAAGGAGATGAAATTTTTGAAAAATCTTTAATGAAACGACGATAAAAACCTGCATGGCCCAAGAAACTGCGAATGCCTCTAACTGATGTCGGTGGAGGTAATTTTTCAATTGCTTCCACCTTTACTTTATCTACTTGCAATCCATTCTTGGACACTTTATGCCCTAGGACTATGCCTTCTCTTACCATGAAATGATATTCTTCCCAATTTAATACCAAATTTGTTTTTTCGCACCTAGCAAGTACCTTGTCAAGATTCATCAAACATTCATCAAAAGAACATCCAAATACAGAAAAATCATCCATAAATACTTCCACAAATCTTTCAACCATATCAGTAAAAATAGCCATCATACACCTTTGAAAAGTCGCAGGTGCATTGCAAAGACCAAATGTCATTCTTTTAAATGCATATGTCCCATAGGGACATGTAAATGTGGTCTTCTCTTGGTCCTCTGGGGCTATAACAATCTGATTATATCCCGAGTAACCATCCAAAAAATAGTAGTATTCTTGCCCAGCTAATCTATCAAGCATTAGGTCAATAAAGGGGAGAGGAAAATGGTCTTTTCGGGTGGCATTATTCAATTATCTATAATCTATGCAAATCCTCCACCCAGTAACAATTCTAATGGGAATCAGATCATTGTTTTCATTTGTCACTACGATCATTCCTCCTTTCTTCGGAACACATTGGGCTGGACTTACCCATTTGCTATTAGAGATTGGAAATACAATACCTGCATCAAGCCATTTAATCACTTCTTTTCTTACCACCTCTTTCATGCTGGGATTTAGGCGGCGTTGTTGTTCTATGCTCGGTTTGTGTCCTTTCTCCATGAGAATTTTATGCATGCAAAAAGCTGGACTAATACCTCTTACGTCAGACATTGTCCACCCAATTGCTCTTTTATGCTCACGTAGTACTCTCAGCAACTTTTCTTCCTGCAATTCAGATAAGTCAGAAGAAATAATAAAATGTAACATATCAGAACTACCCAAATAAGCATAATGAAGGTGAGAAGGTAAAGGCTTTTGTTCCAATTTTGGAGCTTCTTCAATTGATGGCTTCGGAGGAGGACCATTTGGTCTGTTCAAAGGTTCAAAGGGATTTAAACCTTTCATATATTCACATGATGCATTCAAAATATGCTTCATCTCTTCAACCTCATCATTAATCTCCAAACTCTCGAACAACACAATTGCTTTCTCTAAAGAATCCTTCAAATATACACTTGGGGTAATAAGTTGCTCATCCATCTCCATGACAGATATCATAGACAATTCTTCATAATGGTCAGGAAGTTGAATTGCTTTGTATACATTAAAAATAGCTTCCTCGTTGTCAACTCTCATGATTATTTTTCCCTCTCTTACTTTAATTATAGCATCACCTGTAGCCAAGAGAGGTCTTCACAATATAATAGGAACTTTTTCATCTACTTCAAAATCTAAGATAATGAAATCAGCCGGGAAAATGAATTTCCCAATTTTCAGCAGCACATCTTCAATCACCCCTTCCGGGTACGCTATGGACCCGTCTGCTAGTTGCAATATCACAGTGGTGGGTTTTGGAGCTCCCAAACCCAATTTTTTGTACAAGGACAATGACATCAAATTTATCCTTGCTCCCAAATCAAAAAGTGCATGGCCTACATCAACATTGCCTATTCTCATAGGGATAGTAAAACTACCAGGATCCTTAAGCTTTTGAGGAAGCTTATTTTAGACCCTTGAAGTGCACTCCTCAGTAAGTGCAACTATTTCAAATTCAGTCAATCTCCTCTTGTTAGACACAATATCTTTTATGTAGTTGGCATACTTTGGAATATCACGAATCGCATCTACCAACAGAATATTCAATTGAATCTGACTCAACATAGAGAGAAATTTGTTGAACATGCGATCATCATTCTTTTTCTGCAATCTTTGTGAAAAAGGTGGTGGTGGCCTTGGAATATTCATAGGCGCTGAAAGTGTATCATCTTTCTTTGCTTCCTGTGTTGCTTTTGGAATCAATTCACCCTCAGGTATAGGCTTGTCTTTTCTCTTCTTTGCAACTTCTTCTAATTCCCTTCCAGTTCTAAGTGTAATTACACTAACTTGCGGATTTTTCTTTGTATCACTTGGAAGAGCACCTGCAGGTCTAGTGTTTTGATTTGCAGCTAGCTGTCCCATTTGCCTTTCAAGATTTCTAAAATCAGTTATGAGTTGTTGATTGTCATGCAACTATTTCTTCAACAAATCATTTGTACTTTCTTCAACCTGCTGGGGTGGCCTTTGAGGTTGATTAAAATTTCCTTGGGGTCTATATTGATTCTGATTTGATTGATTTCCACCCCAAGAGAAATTAGGATGATTTCTACAATTTGCATTGTAAGTATTCCCATATTGTACCTGTTGGTTCATCGGACCTCTGCATTTGTTGGGCACATGTCACTTGTGTGATTGTCACCACACATTTCACAACAACTCGACATTTGTTGAACATGTTGCATTTGTTGTGTCTGTTTCATTGTCGTTCTATTCATTTGATTTGCCAATTTTGCTATATCTGCTCTCATGGATGAAAAATCATCAAGTTCAAGTACCTCTGTTGCTTTCAGTTTCATTGCTCTCCTTGGTTCTCCCTCACCTTGCCAATTATGATCATTAGCAGCGAATTTGTTTAGCAGAAGTTGTATTTCACTATATGGTCTCGCCATGCAACTACTTCCATAAGCTGAATCAAGATTCATCTTTGAAGTCTCATCTAATCCATCAACAAAAGTATGGCCCAATACCTCATCAGTTTGACAATAATGTGGACAGTCTCGATGTAGTTTCTTCTATCTTTCCCAAGCTTGGCGAAGAGTCTCACCATCCCGTTATTGAAACCCAAGAATCTGGCTCCGCAAAGACTTTGTCTTTTTAGTGGGGAAAAACTTGATTAAGAATTTCTTTGCTAAATCATCCCAAGTATGGATTGAATTAGCAGGCTCCTTCTCAACCATTCTTTAGCTTCCCCCAACAATGAAAAAGGAAACAAGGTTAGCCTGACATAGTCCTCGGAAACACTTGGATAGTTGTAAGTATCCACGATTTCCAAAAAATTCTGAATGTGCCTCTGCGGGTATTCATGAGATAGACCTACATATTGCCCAGTGGACTGAATCAGCTGTATCATGTACTGCTTAAGCTCAATGTGACCAGTGATATCAGGCTTCACAATAGCCTGAGTCATATTAGAAATATTTGGCCTTGCAGCTTCTATCACCGGACGCCCTCCATTACCTGCCATCACTGTTGGCTGTGGTTGAACTAAAATGTCCAACTCTCTTTCTGTTTTGTATCTAGCTTCAAACTCCTTCCTCGCTCTATGAAGTGTTCTTTCAATTTCAGGATCCAGAGGGAAGAGATTGCTTGGNGAGGACTTGTGATCAACTTATAGACTGATGCAAACTCAAACAATTATCGATTCAAGCTAATTCAACATAAAATACATAAATAACCAATTTATAATTTAACTAGTAGACAAACAATAATACAACGCAAAGTTACTATGCCACTTATGAATTTTTCTTTTAACAATTAATAAAAGAGATATTCCGGGGTCATGGGCTTGCTAGAGATCATGCTAAATTTTTAGCTTAAAAATAATTTATTAAATTATCTGGGTTATTGATTATAGGAATCTGTCGATTTCTTATGCGCCTATTCAAGTTAAATTAATACCTATATTTCTATGGTATTAATATTAACTCAAATGCATTTACAAATCCTATTTCTCAACCAAACAAGGCAATTAAGTATAGTTCTATCTTAATCGGGAATCTTTCACCCGATGCCCAGGATCCTGATCTTGCTCTATTTGATTCTATATGCAATCAAAAATTTCCTTTTTCAAGTTTAACTCAAGATTCGTAAATAGTATTTCATTGTTAGCTACGCAGTAAAATAATTAATAGCAGAATCAAATAAACAATCCTTAACGATAATTTCAAGATCATCAATCTAAGCTTCAAACAATAGAATCATCTATCACCCATAACCCCAGAATATTTGGGTTTTTAGCCACTCATAATTATACAAACATCAACAATATAAGTCTTAAACATCAAATAAATAGATACTAGAAGAAAGTTTAGAAAAACTCTTTTAATCCTTGCTCCAAAGTGTTGTCTCCTCTTGATTTTGATCCTCCAAGATGGATTTCCTCCTCTTTTTCTCTCTCAAAAACAGTTTGGTCCGTCAATAATGGATGCTTTCCCCTTTTTTAATCGTGTGTGAAGGGGTTTTTGACAATTATGCCTTTTCTAGACCGAAATAGAGTAGTTCTGCGATTTTTACACGTTCGCGGTGCCCCGTGCACCGCGTACATGGATTGGACAGAGGTATAATGCATGTTAACGGAGCAAAACAATGCAGCGCAGTTTTTTGCACTACCGCGGCGCCCCACGCGACATGCCCCATTGCGCGGCAGTGTATTTTTCTGCGCTGCTTAATTTTTTCTCTTGTTTTTCTATCCGGGCTTGCTTTGCGACCCCCAAACACGATCCCAACTTGATTTATTTAGCTTTTACTCAGACTTCAAAGCCCCAAATTAATCAAATTCATCCCAAAGTTAATTATTAAGTTGGATTAGCTTCCTGCAAGGCATAAAACATGAATTTAGTACAATTCATTATCATTTAAGCTCAAACCTTTGTAAAATGCAGTAATTAAAATGTTGTTACAACGACTAAAACACGAGTTTTTAGCCTATGATCAACACCCCACACTTATACCATTGCTCGTCCTTGAGCAATTAACATACATTTCACATAAGGGCGACCTTTTTATCAAGCAATTTTTCTAACAACACATGCCGACACTTAAGTACCAATTCATAATAGTTCAAACTCAAGACATGACTCACAAGTGCCACGCATTTTCATAACTTGCTCACTTACTCTAACACTAAGGTTAAAACGTTTCCTTGCTTTCACAAATCATGTGCCCTCCCACAACTAATATAGACTAGTTCCTCTCAACATAGTATTCACAAATATTTAGAAACTCAAAATAGGAAGAATTCACTCCCTCTCAGAATTGAAATTCATGTGCAACAGATGACATACCATATGCTTGTCCCTAGTGTAATAC